GCATATTGAATTGAATCCTTTAAATGCAAACATCTACTAGCAAGAATACAAAGCTTTTGTCTCATTATTGCAACACGAGCCTTGCAAGAAGACGGTGTCATCAATTCTTGTTGCGGAAGTTGTGTGCAAGTTTTGACCCTTTGATCGCTCCTTTTGGGGAGCTATTTTTGCAACCATGCGAGCTGCGTGGGTTGAGAATCAGATCAGCCAATGGGCTCGGCAACGTGTGCATGGTCGGGGCCGTAAAGCAAGCTAATGGACGACTTAGGGTTACAAAGGCGCCCTGAAGATGAACAATCATCAACAAGAAAAAACAAGAAAGTCTAAAATTGTCTAAATGCCAAGAAGAAGCAAGAAAGGAAGAACGGTCGTCTTTTTTCATCAGACCTTTCTCCTTCTATTTTTGGTCTCTCATCCAACTTAGCCATCATCCGCTGACCAACATCACTCAACCCTTGGCAGGAGGGTTCTACTTCATGATGGGCAGGCTGGATTTGGGTTTTGATGTGCTTCAAATCGACGCCTTTATTTTTGGCCCTTTGAAGGCAATTTAAAAGTAACCTACTAGCGATGGCACAACCTACTAGCGATGGCCTCCAACCTACAAGCGATGGTCTCCAACTTAATAGCGATGGCCTCCAACGTAGAAACCCATTCCTGGTGCCACATGGTGTCCAGGTGGTCTTTCCTCCCTTACATGGTGGTCATGAACGCGATTGGTCTCAACGTGGCCTGCAGCCCAGTGAGACACCGTGAAAACCGCTCAACAAGTCCGTTCAGCGACCCACAAAGTCATCGGTTTTCGGGCCCTTCGTGCTTCTTGTTCCTGCTCCTAGTAGCGAGGCCCTTTGTTCCTAGTAGTGTCCTCTACCCCCGTGCTTCTCAGAAGGCCATTTTGGTGTGTTTCTTCGTCTTTTCCAATCATTCGCAGACTCATGGTGCTTTGCTAGGATCAAAGAGCTCAACCCCCACAACGTTGCTTTGATCAAAGATTTCTCGCAACAAGTCTTGGATGCTGGGCATTCCCCATGAAACAAGACGTAGCTCGAAGGCCCTCTTCATTTTTAACGTCTTCTTCCCCATGTACCCCGCGGACGGTGCAAAACTGTTGGCAGGAGGGCCCAGAGTGCGAGAGGAAGTTCTGGCGATCAAACGAGACATGAAAAGGATAGGGGTCACCGACAGGCATTCTTTGCATGTTGTGCGACATGGAAAGAACAATGCCAAGCGATGTCTTTCATTGCCTTGTTCATGGTGTGGGGGCTGCTCGATATCTTTTCCTCCAACCACAAAGCAAGTATTGCGGGGTGTAATCACAAGATCCCTTGCTCCGTAGATCCATAGGATATATGTTCCATTGCAGGTTTCTTTGGATATACAGCGCAGGGCCTCCGAAGGTGATAACAGCCGAAGCCGACCAACATTTGTGATTCAGTGACCACGATTGTTCTGTAAAGAGAACGAGATCAGCAAGTGTTGTGTTTGCTATGCATGAGAAGACCAGCCCAGGTTACAGGCCTCATGTTCTGCTGTGGGGTGACTCCTCGCAAGGCGAATCCCGATCAAGCCTGTCGGACATGGTTGGATTCAGTCCGAGCTAAGGAGAAGGCTTTATGTAGTAGTATTGGGTAGCCTAGTAGCCATAGTTGTAAAACACATACAGCATACACTTACGGCTACGGTGAAGGTATCGGTTTCGCCAGGCATCCATGGTCCTGATTTGTACCTCGGTGCCTTGTGGCTTGCTGATGATTGCCACTCGGCGCTTGGCATGACTCCTCACGTCCACCTTCATGTCCTCCCACTTGGGCGTCCAACAGTTGAGATTGCCCCTGTACCAGTAGCTAGAAGCTACTAGTAGCTAGAACCTACTAGTAGTGCACATGTTACTAGTAGCAATGAATGAAACTCAATGTCAAACCGCTTGGATTTTACCATTGGCTCAGCTATCCTGAGCTAATCCCGGCTCTCTGCGGCGACTTTCTGCGATCTCGCTATGCCTTCTATCCGCCATCGCCTCAGAGAGGCCTATGCCGTTTGGGGCCTCATCACAAATGGCGCTCGCGGTATCATGGGCGGCTTGAGCGGCTGGATGGGCATCATGAGCCTCATGGAGGCTCGAAGAAATGACATCAGCACGGACAAGGATCGTCAAGCTGATGCACTTGTTACTAGTAGCTTCTTGTTACTACTAGTAAGGCACTTGTTACTAGAAGCGATGCACTTGTTACTACTAGCTTCTTGTTACTACTAGAACATGTCAAGATCTCCAAGTCTCTTTACAACAGGTTTTGACTCCCATCGATCTTGCCGTCGCTACAGAACTTTCGAGAGATGTGTCCAAGTTCCAAACTGCAGGCTTTGCAAAAGACTTTGGCCGTATATTTCGTGTAGTGAATGAAAGTTTGCTCATCCTTTGGATGGCATGAATGCGGGAGTAGGATGAATCTGCAATTCACCACCTTACCTCACACGAACCAACACTTGTCTTGAGAAAGAGCGCAAGAAGCACGATATGTACATAAATACATCACAATATACGCAGAAGGAAAGAACAAAGTCCTCGCAGGCCCGTCGCATCTGGAAGCTGCGCAAGGCCAGATCCGTGGAGTTGCTGGTAGGAAAACCCTTAATTCATTCTCAAGGAAGGCTTTTTATTGACTAGAACACTGCTTGCAAGGCCTCCTCTTACTAGTAACACAAAACCAGTGGTAAACATTTTCTCCTAGACCACTTTCCAGGAGGCCCTAGGTCCAGCAGGATTTTGCATTGACGCGCTCGGGCAGAAATCAATCAGCAACAGGGCAGACAGTTCAACAATCGTGACAACGTGAAACGCAATTAGTCGAGTCCTTTTTGTGGAAGGCGATCTCTCTTAGGTTGGAGGCCATCGCTATAGGTTTGAGGCCATCGCTTGCAGATTGGAGGCCATCTCTATTAGGTTGGAGGCCATCTCAATCAGGTTGGGGGCCATTGCTAGTAGGTTGGTTTAATGGGCCGCAGAGTTTAAGCATTGGAAAGCGGTCGAGTTTGGGAGGCGCGTCAGCTCAACACACATCCTCTCTTTGAGGCAGAGATAGCCCGGAAGATTTCGTTTCAAGAAAGTATTGGGACATTTCTCAAAGATTCTCAAGGCACTTGTGTCAACGTGCAATGCTTCTTTCATATCAAGCTTGCCAACGTCTGACATACGAAGAAGGGGAATGAATGAGATTCCTCTCAGAACCTCCGATGTAATGCCCTTTGTTCCTAGTAGCTTCTTGTTACTCCTATTGGTGCTTCCCACCTCGGTCCTAGTAGCGTCCTCTTGTTCCTAGTCGTAAGGCCAGGAGCCCCTAGTAGCGAACATTGTTCCTAGTAGCTATGCCCTTTGTTCCTAGTAGCTTCTTGTTCCAGAACCTCTCAGAAGCTCCGATGCTGAAACAGTTCAATCAGAACGTCGCCACAGAACTCGGTCCAGGTGGCCAAGAGCTGGCGGAGAACCGAGCGGGACGCCTTTGGAGTGGTGCACCGCATCAATCACTCAGCGCCTCGATGTGCTTCTTGTTACTAGTAGCTTTTTGTTACTAGTAGTACGGCCAGGAGCCAGGAGCCCCTAGTAGCGTCCTTGCTCCTAGTAGCGTGGCCCTTTGCTCCTAGTAGGGTACTCTTTCCCTGAAGTTCAACAGGATCAACAGGATTCGTGATCAACTAGACTACTATGCATAACTAGACTACTCTGTTGGCCATTGTACTTGCCCAAGGGAGCCATGATCTTTGACTAGCACATCGTGCAGGATCATTGCATAGTTTGAACAACAATGCCTTTCAACTGAGGACTTCGATGATGAGCAGCCCTTGACCTCGGGCGGCTGGGGGAACTTCTGTGCCCTGCTGCGCCGAGACGAACTCTCGCAGCCGCTGACTCGTGGCCGCTCCAAGTGTTGCTGCTCGGCTGGAGTCCAAACTGTTCGACAAAGCATTCTAAAAGAAGCCCCAAATAGTAGCTTCTTGCTGCTAGTAGTAATGCCCTTAGCTACTAGTAGCGTCCTTGCTACTAGTAGCTTCTTGTGACGAACAAAAGAAACACATAATTTGAAAGCATTCTAGTTTCGTGGTAGCAAGGGGTAGCTAAGTCCAAGTGATTTCTTCCTTTGGAACAGAAATTCTCACTAACAGGACCACATTCTTGCTGTTCTTTTTTTGAACTGTTGGACTTAGACCGGACCCCTTTTTTCTTGCTTTCTATTCACTTCCTCTCTCTTCTTTTGGGAGGCAACGGTTACTGAGTTGTTCGCAGTCAAATAGTGTGCATGCAGTGCATGCAGGCTGCTGCTGCTTCTTCATGGGCGGCCCTACGGAAGCCGAAGAGGTAGAGGTCAGTTGGAAGAATGACAACCCAAAATGAAGGACGAATAAGGACTGTCTTCTTCAGCAACTGTTTCTTTCGGTCCCAGGGTCTTGGCAGCCCTGGAAGGTGGTGCCACCGAGTCTCAACACTGCTCAGCAACAAAGTCTTCGAGCACAACGAGATCAGTTTGTACAGAGGACGGGGCCGGGCTTGCTTGGTCCCCGAACCGGAACCTACCAGTGGAAGGCCAGCATGGTCGCTGTTCTGGAAGAGGGGGCGTTCTTTTATCACACTATAAGAGCAACCAAGACTTCTTGAACGGAAGGTGCAAGACTTCTTGACGCAGAAGATTTCCCTTCAGCTTGAAGAATGTGTGTGGAAATAACGAAACGGATATTCCGACACCCCGGTTTCTCAGGATGGAGCAACGTACGCAAGACGCTCCAAATGCAAGGTGAAAACATGCGAGCAATAGACTGTCCTGCTTTGTGCTCCATTGTTCACAAATGCCTAACATATGATGTGCTTCAAAGCCAAGCCAGTTCGCTGTATCGTTTTTTCCACAGATGCAACATCTCACTCAAGAAATAAACGCACAATGTGACGTCTTTCCCGGGTCCGTTACGGCTTTCCTCGCTCTCCCGAATCCGGAGTCCCTCCGTGTGCCGAGTCCAAAATCGATCCCAACGGAGTGAAGCAGAAGCTGCAGAGCTGCACTGAGACGATGAAGCGCCTCGAGGAGGTCAGACGAGGGACATCAACGGGACTTCAAAGGACTTCGTCTTGGGAAATGCCAGGGACATGAAAGCATAAACCAACACACAACTAGCGATGGCCTCCAACCCACTCGCAATGAATTCATGAAAAATAAAATGCCTGCGTGACACAGGAACGACTCTTTTGAGCACCTTTGTATACCGTGTAAATGCCATGGCGTGGCACCTTTTAAAGGGCATTCCAAGACGCCCCACTAGTGCTAGTGACGCATCATGTTGATAGTGAAGCTGTTTGAATGGTGCTCTTTGTGCTAGTTGCAAGTCTCAGTTAAGGAAGCAGGAAAGCAGGACAGTTTGCCTGAAAGACATGAAGAGTTTTGACGAAGCCCCTAAATCAGAAGACTTCTTCCAGATGTCTCTTCTACATAGGCCCTTCTCAAGACAGAATTGGGAGGTCCAATATGTCTCATGCTCCATCGACGAAGCGAACTGCCAGGTGTTTGCCACCCAGCCGCGGCCGCGGCAGGTGGGTCACTCTCTCGAGATGAGCGCGTATGAGTCATGTTGAGTCCCGTTTCAAGCAAGTTTGCATGGCGCCATGGTAAAAGTTAAGAAAGAAAACATGAAAGGAACAAAAAGATGATTGGGGAGAAAGAACCATTGAAGAGGTCCAAGGGTAAATTGTTTAAAAGCAATAACACTGCGTTTGAAGAAAGGATAAATTCCTTGTGGACATGGATCTTCGATGCATGAAGTGCCGCCATGTCAGCCTCTTCATGGAGGTCCTACATTCGCTCTCCTTGGAACTCACCGAACTGAGAGTTCTTCTGCCGGTGGAAGGCTCAGACCAACTCAGTTCCATGGGAACCTAATTGTAATGGCCTCCAATCTAATAGCGACCCCAACCTAAGAGCGAGGAACTCATCAGGATGATAGTATATATATATATATAACCGAACAGGCGATCTTAGGTAAAATACAAGAAGACTCTTAAGAGGCACACGGAGGTTCTGATGTTGCCTTGTCCATGATGTCCAAGAAACTTCTTTTCATCTCTTTCACCTCTTTACTCATGAGATCGCTTCGACTTGACTTTATCGAAGAAACACTCTACTTGCGCAGACTGATTCTTGCTTAACAAGCCGAACAAGCCCTCTTGTTCTTTCTTTTTTCCAACACTTTTTCAGCAGAACCGGTCACGAGCCACACAGGTTGCATCTCTGATTCACTGACAGCGGATCTGGACATTTCACTCGTTACAACCGTTACACCAATGAACAGCAGTTCGGTTTAATTGAACGAGCAAGGACGCTACTAGAAAAAAGAAGCTACTGGGGCTCCTGGCATCGCTACTGGGAACAAGGACGCTACTAGGGGCTCTTGGCATCGCTACTAGGAGCGAAGGACGCTACTAGGGGCTCTTGGCATCGCTACTAGGAGCAAAGGACGCTACTAGGAACAAAAGGCACGAAGCCCTTGAGGTCACTCCGACCTTCAGCGTTCTCACAAGTGACGTCGAAGGCTTCGAAACACTATGATTTCGTCGAACACCGTGGACGCCTTCGTGGAACCGAGGTCATCGTCTCCCTACTGAACCCGGGTCTCAGAGAGCGCCATTGGCGCCTCGTCAGATGGCTCGACATTCGACGGGTGGTCTAGGAGCACGGACGCTACTAGGAACAAAGGGCATCGCTACTAGGAGCTAGAGGACGCTACTAGTTGGTACCGGTGGACCACCTAAAATCCCTCGTCTTTCTCGCCGTCCGATTGATCCAAAAAGAGACCCGACAGCAAGAGCTCACAGGTGTTCTGAGTTGCCAGTTGTTCTGAGTTGTTAGTGTGAGACAAAGGTCACTAGTAGCTTCTTGCTCCTAGTATAGTAAGGCCAGGAGCTACTAGTAGCGTCCTTGCTCCTAGTCGTAGCGATGCCCTTTGCTCCTAGTAGCTTCTTTGAAAGAAAAACAAATACACCAAAAAGGACGAGTTGCTCCTTGCGAGAGGAAGTGCTGGCCCTGGGAGAGTAGCATGCAGTACAGTTGGTTGAATCGAAATTGAGCCGTTGCAAAGCGGCGAAAAGAGTTACAAAATGCCATTTGAGGACTCTGATCGGGGAGGCCATCGATCAAAACATCCAGGCCCATCAGATGAAGGAGACTTGGGCATTTTGAGTGAACGTCACTGCCCCTTCGTTCTAGTAATCACCCTTTTAAATGTATGTTCTGTTTCTTCTTTCCCTTTTTCTTTAGACCTTTCGACCTTTGCTCTCTTTCTTTTTCTTTGTAATCACAAGTGTTTCTGAAGTCATCCCGGGCGCCTTCTGGCGCAGCAAATGCCTGCAACCTTTGCTGATCGGTTCTGAGTGTAATACTCGCACAGGGTCGTCATGGTTTCATCGTTCTTCGTGACGGGCCTTGCTATTACCATATTCAAACAAAAGAAAAGGTCGCTAGTTAGTAGCTTCTTGCTCCTAGTAGCGATGCCAGGAGCCCCTAGTACCCCAATGAGTACCGAGAGTTGGGGTAGGAATCCAACGCGCATTCCTCAACAAAAGAATACTGATTTTGGAACTGGAGCAGTGCGGGGCTGAATTGCAAGCACATACCAAATCCAATGTTGCAGATCTAGCTGTGTAGATCTTCTCACATCCACAGGAAAACCAACACGCTCAAGGGAAACAATGCAGTCAAGAGAAGAAGCAAAAGCCAATCATGTGCCAAAGTACCGGAACAGGATCGGTTTCTTGCGGATCAGTTTCTTAACAATTGTCCGCGGAAACACCTGATGTGAAAAGGGAATTGTAGAAGACTTTGATGCAGGAGATGTATGCGCCCCCAATGCATCTGTGTACAAACAGAAACGTGCTCTCGATGGCTCAAGGTAGAACACATTCTGAAGGTAAAAGCGTGCTCACAAAGACAAAGATACGCTTAGCCGCTTAGCATATTCTAGTAGATGCACTTCTTTGGGGACAATGCAATTGCTCATTGGCAAAGTGTCACAAAGTGTCATGAACTCAAAATGGGGATGTTTGCCAGGCTGAACCTAGGTCAATGGGGCTTGAACATAGCTGGACACATCACGCTAGTGAGCTGCACATGGATGGGGAGAAGCAATCCAATGATATGCTTGTCTCCAGTTGATGCAAAATATGTTACTGTTCTTTTAAAAAACTGGTCACCTTGAGAATGGTGCTTTGCGGAGTAGAATAATGCCTGGGCGATTGCCACCAAATATACATTTTTTTTTGGCATAGTAACCGGAAACTCTGCTACCTGCCCGCCCGTGCCCGCCCCATTGTTGCAGTAGTTCAGATGCAAGAAACCTTGCCAGGACATTCGACTTTCGGAGATGAATGAGCGCTTTCCCTTCGTTGGGGGCCTTGATGACAGCTTTGGTGTCTTTTTCATCAGAAGCAATTTGGGCCATACCCAGCTGAGCCCAGCTATGTCTGTTGAGCTTCCGGCACCACACCAAGTGTTTGCGTGAAAACTTTGAGGAGCTCATGCGGAACGCATACAGACCTGACCTCCATACTTTTGGTAGAATTGGATTAGAATACTTCTCTGCTTGACGAAACAACAGATCGGTGCTCATCACCCTCTGGCACGTTCAGACTCGCTCGAGGGTCTCCACAATTGCCCAACCTTGCAGCCATGCGATCCGGTTCGAGCTAGCTGTAGCTGGCTGTAGTTGGAGAAAGCTGCAAGTCGCTGCAAGCCAAACCCAATGCGCTCTACTGCCTGGGTTCATAGGAATCCGTTTTCTTCCTGAGAAGCCCCGAATTGAGCTTGACTTGTCAAACACAATTCAGCTCACATGACCTATCTCTACGGTTGACAATTACGAACAAGAGAACTTTTTGCGAGTCTCCTTGCCAGTAGAAACAAGTGCATCGCTACTAGTAATAAGTGCCTTACTACTAGTAACAAGAAGCTATTAGTAACAAGAAGATAGCGAGCCATGTTGAGCATTCGGCAGATTTCCGGGGAAGCTTTGGCAACTTTAAGCGAGGATGAGGTCCTGGCTACTTGCCCAAAACGCTCTGCGTTCCGGTTGACCATCCCTTGCAAAGCGAGCGTTCTTGCGTGCGTGAGAGAATGGACTCAACCAATTACCCAAGAGTCCAAGAGGAAATGCCGGTTCCGTTCCCTTCGCTGTAGCGAGCGGGTATTGACTCACAGCCTTTTTGCATCTTTTTGGAAGCTGAAAGATCAGCATGTCAAAGCAAAGGTGGTGGAAAGTTCACCGCCAGTGACAACTTCCTGTTTGCCGGTCCAAGGACATTGCACGCATCCATGGCGATTCAGTGAAGGCATTGAAGATCCATTGCCAGCATTTACTCGCTTGTTCAGGTCCAGCTCCATCTACCTACAGGACGGCAACAATCTTGCTTTCCACAAATTCAAGGAAAGGAAGTTTCGATAAGCCAAAATCTGTGACATTGTGCGTTTGTATACTTTTAAGCTGCATCATGCATTTATCAGAGCACACCAGCGTTGTACTGGAGTTTGGAGAGAGTCCTCGAACAATAGAACGACAGGTTTGCAGGTTCAAAAAAGAAGAATGGACAAAAGGGAGAAAACAGAAGCCTCTCAGGATGGCCTCCAACCTACTAGCGATGGCCTCCACCTAATGTCTAAAAAAGGTCTCAAGGAGAAAAGATGTCTCTCAGATTGACTCACTGACTCAACGATTGCCTTTGGACCTCCAGGTTGCTCCTTCTACGCGAGGGGCAACTGCTGGCTGAGCGGGATGGCCTTACTGGCCTTTTGTCAAATTTGTCAGGTGCAGACCTGAACCTGGCCACTAAGCAAGACTTGGAGCGCTTTTTCTTTGAAGTCTCTCAGATTAGCGATGGCCTCCAACCTACTAGCGATGGCCTCCACCCTAGAAGCGATGAGAGGCGACAACTTAATAGCCATTCCGAAAACCTGTCCGACTCAATCACCTTTGATCCGCCTGGTCGACTCAGGTGATTGTACCTTTCAGCTCTCCAGACGAAAAAACCTCCCGGACCTTCCTGGAAGCTCTCTATCGCAACAATGTCCGGGAGCTGGAGAAGGTTTTAGCCGCACCCTGTCCGAGTCTTGCACCTCCCATCGCCACAAACATGGCCAACCCAATGTTTCTGTTTAGAGCGTCCTTGCTCCCCTAGTAGCGTTCTTGCTCCTAGTAGCGATGCCCTTTGCTCCTAGTAGCGCCCTTGCTCCTAGTAGTATGTTTCCGTTTAGAGCTGCCCTCCACTTTCATCCACTTAGTAGCGTCCGATCGCTCCTAGTAGCGAACCCAACGTTTCTGTTGGGAAGTGCATGCTGGTGGATGCTTGACAGCGATTCAATACTTAGAATACGATCAACGTCTTCTCAAAGCTTCCCCGCTGTTGAGGCATGGGGAGTGTATGGAATTTTGTTTCAGTGGTTCATTCATGTTCATTCCAATTGTTGTCAAAGTTTGTATCGCAAGATGAAGCAAACGTTTGCAGCCTCACAATCCCTAAAAGTCTAGAAACCAAGTCATTAGTACGAGCGCTTCTTCAAGGAAGCGTGAGCTATCCTGCGTCCTACCTAGGAGCGTCCTGTACCTGGTGGCTACCTCTCCCTTACGCAATTAAGTAGGCGCCTACTTAATTAAGTAGGGAGGGGGGAGCGGGCTACAAGAAAACACACCTTCATGAAACCTCTGAGGTACCTGTCGACCCAAACCACATCTTCTGCGAGGGTACTGAGGAGGAAGACCCCGCACTGTTGATCGCAGCCCGGGAGGGCTGCAGCGACGTTGTGCAGCTCTTAATGGAGGCCATGGCCAACCTGGACCACCCCGACATCACAGGATGCCCTTCGGCACCAACATCAGTTCGTTCTTTATTTCCCAAATGGAACACCAAATGAATGTGACTGCCTGAGCTCTCCGTCCTCTGTCTTCCCAGTCTGTTCGAAGATGTGAGACCACAAAATCGGAACATGGTCTTGCTCCGTTCGTAGCGATGCCCTTTGTCTAGTAGCAAGAATGCTCCTAGTAGCAAGGCCAGGAGCGCCTAGTAGCATCCTTGCTCCTAGTAGCGTTGTTAGTAGGTAGCCTTGTTACTAACTAGCTTCTTGTTCATGTTTCTTCTTTTTCACTGAGGTACAGCTCTTTGGGTGGCGTGTCTCAATGGGAATTTTGAGGTCGTCCGACTCCTACTGGAGCCTCTCGGATCGAGATTCTTTGACTAGGACTGGAGCCCCATTCGTAGCTTCTTGATCCTAGTAGTAACAAGTGCATCGCTAGTAGTAACAAGTGCCTTACTAGTAGTAACAAGGACGCTACTAGTAACAATAAGCTAATAGCTTCTTGTTCCTAGTAGCGATGCCAGGAGCCCCTGGTAGCGATGTCAGCGTAGGCCGAGCCAGATAGCTGTCGATCCGCGACAAACCTGAAGTTCTCGGAACCAAAATCTGTCACCATCCTCCAACCTAATGGTGATGGCCTCCATACTAGCGATTACCATCATCTTCAAGCACACCCTTTTGGGAGTAAGAAGCTGGTGCGCTCTGTGGCACTGAAGCACCGTGTCAAGGTATCGTGCAGACCATGGCAAGGCTTGCGACGGTGACCTGGACTCGTTCGACAAGACTCGAGGGTGGTGAGAATACTTATTTGCTGCTCCATTGTCATTCATGTCATTCATCTTACTATCCAAAAACATCCCAATACTAAATCTATGGGTGCAGACGTGTCAGTGCAGAATAAAAATCTTAGGTCAACTGAATGTGCTGAGGTGATACCCCGCTGATAGTTGCTTGCTCTGATGGAAACGAGGAGCTTGGAAGTTTTAAGAAGGGCGATCTTAAGATCTTTTGGCTTTCACCTTGGATCACCTTGCCGTTCTTTGCGATTTGGGAGATGAGATTTGTCAAGATTCTTGGACCACCATCGCCTGGACTGATCTTCTGGAAGTGCCATGACTTCAGGACATTGTGAAGTGTTTGCTTGAGATGCGAGCTGATTGCAACCAATTAGATGCTTGGTGATTACACGCTACGGGGTTGTTTGAGCTTTGAGGATTGTTGCTTGCTTTGTACAGCCTCTCTGAGGATTCACGCGGCAATCCACCGCTGGCGGTTGCTGCAATCTCGGAGAATTCCAATCTGGTGTCTAGACTGCTCGAGGCTTGACATGTCCATGTTGAGGTGTTGGTGAAAGTAGTCTAATAGCAATGGCCTTCATGTGTACTGGTTGCCTTTTGCTCTTGTACTTCCTGTTGCTTGACTTTTTAAAGACAGTTCCTTTTCCTTCCGTTCTTGCTTTGAAGCTTGACATACTTCAGGAGCATGTGCATGGTTAACCTTCTGGCCGAATATAAAAACAAAGAAACAAAACATGTCCGCTTTATCAATCTGCTGTGTCAGGCGGGCGCGGACGTCGAGGCTCAGCTGCAAAGGTCGACCTGAACTGCCTCATAAGGGCGCTCCCAAAAAGGGACTCGTTCTCTTCACATTTCTACTAGTAGCTTGAAGCTACGAGTAACAAGGGCATCGCTACTAGTAACAAGGGCATTACTAGTAGCTAGAAGCTACTACTAACAAGAAGCTACTAGGGGCTCCTGGCCTTACTACTGGGAGCAAGGACGCTACAAGGAGCAAGGGCATCGCTACTAGTAACAAGATACTGGTCCCTGAGGATCACGTGAACTGCGATGGTGAATCTGCCCTGTGGGCTGCCTCTGAGAAGCTGGGCGAAGCATTTGGGATTGATGAACATGAGTTTACACCAAAGTGACCCGGGCACAGTCTGTGGATTCCGTGTGGATTCATGTTGAATCTGGGGAGTCTTGAGTCTGTCGAATCATGTTGAATCTTCACAACCTAATAGCAATGGTCTCCAACCTAACGACCTAATAGCGATCGCTAGTAGTTTGGACGCCATCACTCTTAGAATGGAGGCCGTCACTATTAGGTTGGACGCCATCGCTATTAGGTTAGAGGGCATCGCTATTAAGTTCTAGGCCATCGCTATTAGGTTAGAGGACATCGCTATCACATGACGACCTTCCATTCTGTCCGAGGCAGGGCCAAGTGGAGGCTTTGGGCCTCCTGTTGGAAGCCAGAGCACAGGTGAACCGTGCCAACCGTGAGGGTCACACGCCGCTCTTGGCAGCTGCAGCCGGGAGCCTTAAAACTGTGACCCGATGGTCACATGGAACTTTGCTCCCCTAGTAGCGTTCTTGCTCCTAGTAGCGATGCCCTTTGCTCCTAGTAGCTTCTTGCTCCTAGTAGTAAGGCCCTTGTTCCTAGTAGCGATGCCAGGAGCCCCTAGTAGCGTATACCTTGTGTGGTGAAACTGGTACAAGATGCAGTTATTTCTTGATGGGATGCTGGAGTGTTTTTCTTGATGAGGAGAATGCTGATGTTCCGGTTTTGGGCTCAAGTAGGTAAAAGGTATGCGGCCACCCCGAGTAGATCTTGTTTGGCTTCAGCAGACTATCGCCTCCTCGGAATAATATGGAAGACACATGCACTTGTTCCTAGTAGCGTGGCACTTGTTCCTAGTAGCGTCGCACTTGTTTCTAGTGGCACTTGAGGCCAAAGGGCATCCAGACATCGTGGCGATTTTACTGGAGGTGCCGAAAAGAGACAGAACTTCAGATTCACCTTGTTACCCTTGAGAGGATTCTGAAAAGAGATTGCCCCAATCCTTGGCTATTTCACCGGAGAATTGTCCCAAACAACACGAGCTGCAGCGCCTAAGCCAATCCAACTGGCTCACGTCTGTGTGTCGTGGTTTGTGCTGCATGTTCTGCAGGCTCGGTGACATTCAAAGTAGGAAGATGTAGCAACAGGCTACCTTGCTACTAGTAGCTTCTTGTTACTATGCCCTTGATACTAGTAGCGATGCCCTTGTTACTACTAGCGATGACCTCCAACCTAATAACGTCCAGATTGTAAATCGCTTCAGCTCAGTGCCAGTCCTTGCTGTCGGTACAGAACGAGGCGCAAGCAGACGTGAACCAAGCAGACCTGCACTTTGGAAAAACTCCTCTGTGGATGGCGTCTTATGCTGGTCACTTGGAGATTGCCACTGGACTTAAATGAAGGTGTGCTGTCGAGGAAGGGGTGCGGTCGATTTGTGCAGCAGAACTGCCGACCAAGACCTAAGGCCATTTGGGAAGAAACAGACATGGGAATCAAAGGGAACAAAGACCAAGGGAAATGCAAAGACAAAAACATAATATATGCATCATGTACGCAAAACCACTTCCATCATTTTTGGTAAGCGGAGGGTGACGTCCAAGACCTATGACACAGAGTAGTAAAGACGGCGCGTATTTGTCCTTTTCTTCTTTGGGCCATCGCTCTTAGGTCTTAGGTCGGAGGCCATCGCTAGTGAGCCAGTGAAGCGTCGCGAAGCCACACGCAGGGATGCAGCAAAGCAAGGGTGCAAGGAAACTTCTCCTGGGTGGGAGAAGCCTTGCTGTATGAAACGGTTTTTAGCGAAACTGGTAGCGACGTTTTTTGCTTTTAGTAGCGTCCTTGCTCCTAGTAGTAAGGCCAGGAGCCCCTAGTAGCGTCCTTGCTCCTAGTAGCGATGCCAGGAGCCCCTAGTAGCTTCTTGCTCCTAGTCGTTTTTTTTGCTCCTAGTAGTAAGGCCAGGAGCCCCTAGTAGCGTCCTTGCTCCTAGCAGCTTCTTGTTGCTGGCATGACAAGAGACCTATGGCCTATGGCTTAAAACACATTCCATTCTTGTTTGTCGTGTTCGCATGTGGGCAAGAAGGTCAACCAACTGCTGGACGCTGCTGCGTTACTGGACATGCTTGGGGACTCAGATCTGGGTTAGTCTCTAATTAGAACAAACCTGCAAGACTCAATAACTACACTACAAGACGACTAGTAGCGATGGCCTCCTACACTACAAGACTACTACTATGTTTTTCCTTCTTGAAATAGGGGTTTGTTTGCTTTTCTTATTTTCTTTAGACCTGTAGACTAGACCATGTCTGTTTGTAAGCATTGCACAAGTTGACCCAAGCCTTTCGTTCCCTTGTCGACACCATGACAGGAAAGACTTCATGGGATGCTCGCCATTCGAAGTAGCCACAGCCACTTGGCAAAAAGAGACAAGATGAGTACCATGCACAGGCAATGCTTCGATTCGAGCCTACTTGCCCACTTTCCAATCAAAAAAGTACTCAGCCTTCTTCTCACTTCTCCAGATTCTGTGAAAAGCTGTTTGGACTGCAGGAGCAGAATCACAAACGTGTGGCCCAGCTTTTGTTGACCAGTCACTGGGCCTGCAGTGTAAAGATGAGCGAGAAATTGTGAGGAGCTTTTCAACGAAATCATGAAATTGGACCCTACCGCCCATACTACCTCTTACTCCTGGAAAGCGCTTTCTTCCTGATCCCTGCAACTATGCCCAAGATGGAGCTTTCGTCAGAGATGGTAGGTTGAGTATGAAGTTGGTAGACATCCTGGGCAGTCTAACTTATGCCGAAACTTGGCGTGTCGAAAGACCGACTGAAGCTGCAACTTCCGGCATTGAAAGAAGCATGGTTGGCACTTTCACCAGTTGCACAGACAAACAGGTCAGATGCCGCTTGATCAGGTAGACACTGCACACCAAACAACTTGAGACATTCACACCGACACTAAACTTGTAGAGAGTATATAGACACCTTTTTCATGTCTTCGGAAGACACCTTTTATCATCGCACGTGTCATATTCTTGTCAAGGTGGCTTTGACAAGTTGCCAGCACGGAGCGGCCCCCGTACGCCAAGCGATGGGGAATAGGACGCAGAAAAGCGACTCCGCGATCGGCCAGCCAAACAGACTGTATATAGTGAAGGAAGCATGGAAACAGACTGTACATATTTACAAGGTAAAATTCAGTCATTCATAGAAGCATGTGGAGCAAGGACGCTACTATGGGCTCCTGGCCTTACTACTAGTAACAAGAAGCTACTAGGGACTCCTGACATCGCTATTCGGAGCAAAGGACGCTAATAGGGGCGCTGATGGCCTTACTACAGGGAACAAGGAAGCTACTAGGAGCAAAGGGCATGGCTGATGTAGATTCGAAGTTGCTACATTACATGGTGGCCAGATGATACTCGATATATCAAAGTCAGACTCACCACCTAACAGGAGCTGCTTCACAGGTTGGTTTCTGTGTCCTGACTGTTTCCCATTGAAAGAGCTCATCGACCTCAGGTCGCCCACCTCTCAAAGATCCAGGCGACGGTTCGAAGCAGCACGAATGTACCGTACCGGTTGCGGCACTTTGTTTGATCGCAGTTCTCGTACCGGTTGGAGGCCATCGCTATTAGGGTGGAGGCCATTTCTATTAGGGTAGAGGTTGGAGGCCATTGCTTTGGGGTTGGAGGCCATCGCTCTTAGGTTGGAGGCCATCGCTATTAGGTTGAAGGCCATCGCTATCATCGCTTCTAGGGTGGAGGCCATCGCTAGGCTAGGATTCCCAGCTGACTGGTTGTGGCCGTCGTGGCCAGGCCATCTCGGAGACAGCTTCAAAAGAGATGTTGATCGAAGAGGAGTTGCAAAGGCACCGTGGGAACGGACCAAGAGGACGCTACTAGGAGCAAAGAGCATCGCTACTAGTAACAAGGGCATTACTACTAGTAGCTAGAAGCTACTAGGGGCTCCTGGCATCGCTACTAGGAGCAAGGACGCTACTAGGGGCGCTCCTGGCATCACTAGGAACAAGAAGCTACTAGGAACAAAGGGCATCGCTATTAGGGGCAAGGACGCTACTAGTAGCGGTGCACGGGAACAAGAAAAGGAGGAGTGTGAAAGGAACCCTAATGCGACATATCCCACCTTTGACAGGATTAGCAACATCTGAGGATGACTCTGTAATATATTCAACGTATTTCTTTACTACATAGAGCAGTTCCACTTACCAACTCTTTAGAGTTGCACAGATATAGGGGGGGATTTTGTAAGCAACACATTGCAGTCACATTGTATTTTGTCTCACCAGCTACCATTATCCGACCCGCATCTTCGCAGCATTTGTGGATGGAATATGGTACGATAAAAAGGACGAAAGGTACCAGATCAGTGATCCGGCCAAATTGATCATTTCTCACTGCACCACTTGGCTGGCTTGCATACCTTGCTATCAGCGATTGTTCGACTCGGACCTAACACGAAGCGGACAGGATGCAAGAGCAATGGGCCAAGTTGACCTTCGAGTTCAAACCGACAGGCTGAGACATCCGCTTTCACCACCCTCCTTGACAGACTCTCTTGGAACAGGGGATGGAGGGGGTGGAGGTGTGGTTTCTTGTGGCCTTCCAGAGGCACCATGAAAGTTTCATCCCCAACTTTATATCTGGCTTGCAATGTGAACTACACATCAGTGATGAGTGTTGGGAGTCACTACCGTGGCAGTCCGCACTTCATGGATGTTGAGGTGTGAGACAGCGCACGGCCTCATACTGCTCCAGCATGCTCCAGCTAAGAGAGCTTTGCTGAAATGATTCGAATGCCATGGCGATCAGTCAAGTTCCGCCGCTTTATGGATTCGTCAAGTTCCTTGCCAGGTGTCTTTGGGGAAGGCGATGAGCAGATCGAGGCCGAGCAAATCGGGCAATGGGATCCCTTTTTCACGTTGCCAAGCCTAAAACTTGTTACTAGTAGCTTTTTGTTCCTAGTAGTAAGGCCAGGAGCCCCTAGTAGCTTCTTGTTCCTAGTAGCTTCTTGTTCCTAGTAGCAATGCCAGGAGCGCCCCTAGTAGCATCCTTGCTCCTAGTAGCGATGCCCTTTGTTGCTGGCCTAGCGACTCCATGCAACTCCTAATCTTTACTGTCTTGCCTGTCAGGAGGAGTCCTCCATCTCAGTGGCTGAGTTGCACCATGCCGAGGTGGGAGGGACTGAGTCACCAAGCCGAAGATCAAAGCGTTTCCGATACGAGTTTCCCCTTATTCAGTACTTGTTCAGCTGCGTTTAGGGTATTTCTTGCCAGTTCTCCAATTTCAGCGCTTTTCATGTAACGTCTATTTGGTCTATCTCGGCAAGGCATGGGAGCTCATCACGGAGCAAATCGCCAAGGCCGGAGCATCGTTGGTGCTTTGTGCTTTGTCCTTCGAGGAGGATTCTTTAAGACAGGAAGAACGTTCTAAAGGAGAAAGAAGACAAGACGCATTCAAGAAGACAGGTCTAAAGAAAACATGGATGAAAGGAAGAAAGGAAGGTCAAAAGAAACAGAATAGAAAGAAGAAAAAGGAAGACACCTGGAAAGAAGAACAACTCTTTTGTTTTAAGTTCAGGTGGTGAAGACCTGGTCATGGTTCCCCCATCGAACAGTTGGATTTACCAAGATCATTTTGCGAAGTCAAGTATCATTTGTATTGATCACCAATGGATGAACCCGCTTGATCAGCACTTCCACTAGCATGGCGATCATGATCTGGAACTCGTGGTGGGGTGGATCATGATGGGAACCAGCCTGGTATAACCATGATGCAATGCTACCTATTGAGCACCGGTGGGCAAGCCGCAGGCAACAAGCTTGCGTACTCACTGAGGTCGTAGCCTCTTGTTTTTTGATGTGGTTTGATATATTGGTCTTCCAACAAGCTGCACTTAGTTGACTGCAGCGGAGCCCCGAAGTTGAGCAGGTGTTTGTGATCTCAGAGAAGAGCATGATACCTGCCAACAGGTTGTGTTAGGGCATTTGGCAGGTATGACTGGACTCACTACATTTTTCTATTTGCATTTTCTCGTAGCTTTCGCTCGACCTCCGCATCACAGGTGAGAGCCTTAGGCCGTCGCCCCAATGCTGCAGTGCACGAGAAGGACTGCATGAGAAGAGATCGTACAATGGAGATTAGCAATGATTCTGACGTCGTACCAACCACATGGTGGGGATGTCAATTATTGATTGAGGAATACTGAGATGTCCCTTTAGCAGACTCGGTGTCGGTTTCCGCCAGTCCTTGTCCAAAGTCTTTCTTCCCGAACCCAGAGTCCCGCTAGGACTTGGTAGCTCACGATGCGAAGCTTAAGGAGACGGGCCATGTGATCGCTTTCCCGTGAGATGTTTTACGGGTGTTCTTGGAGGCCGGGTGATGACATCACTTGCAAGGCCATTGGAGACCTTTGCGATCGTCTCTATGAGGCTCAGTATGGCCATGAGCCCAGAAAAACATTGTTTTCTGCTGACTCACGGACGTAGTGACGTTGGGACCACGGACTGAGAAGCGAGATGCGGTTTCACACGACGTTGACCAAGGCTACGTGGTGGCTCGAGAGCACATGCTTCAGGAAGGCTTAGTGAAGGAGCCATGTTACGTCCACCCTCCATGTCGGCATTCACAGGCCTACAGAGTGGATGGACCGCGGTGTGACTTTTGGTTGTCTTTGGAAGTTGGTTCAAGTTCCAACAGGGTGATTGCTTGAAGAGGCAACACAGAGTTTTTTTTGCAAAACGGGACCTTTCTTGTGATGGATGCAAAGATGCCTTTGAAAGCTTCAGAGCGCATTTGACATAAGGGAATATCACATGTGCCAAAGGACCTTCGCAGTCTGAGGGTAGTCTGGTTTCATTCGCTTGATGGGACTGGGTTGGTCCTCCTCTGTACTGTGGCGTGTAAGTTGTAGGTCTAGGCAGCTAGCGATGTTCCAGAAGCGTGACTCTGTCTAGTTGGATGGGTTGAGAACAGTTGACAGGAGCTAATGCAACGCGACACTGAGATGAACAAGGAGTGGAGACGCTGGGAGCTCAAGACTTCAAGCCATCCCCTTCCTGACCAAGCCGACCAAGCTCCTAGAAGACAGCTGGCAAGTTTCCCATCATGAGTCTTGGCCCATGTTCGCGAACACTGAGGATTCTTCGAAGTGGAAAAGCAATGGCAGAACATCATGGCCCACCTGAGGCATGCTGCCAGCTGTGAGTCATCGCATGCACTACACTCTAGACCACCAAAATGCATCAAGTGCTTTGCTGACTGTTCTTTCAATAGAGCTCATTTGAGCTTTAACATCTACAAAACAGAAAACATCTCCACTTTCCCTTTCCCCAGTTCTCCCAACGGCACCAACCGATACTGTAGATGTCTCCAGCAAAGCCCCCTACAACGGCGTCGACGGCTCGTTCCACTTCGTTCCACTTGACGGATCGAGATCCTCCAACACCTGGCTGGCGCTGTTGGAAGTGCCGAAGATCTCCACGTTCTGCAGAGAGGCTGAGACCGGGACAAGCACGGGTGCTCGGGTGCGTCTGGGTACCCGTTAAGCCGTCACGTGCTCCACTGAAACATGAAAACATCTTTTGACGCTTTCGGGCTCAGTGACAAGCATCCCTAGCTGGGCCCTAGCATTCCATTCAGTGCCTAACATCGCTAGTATGTGTTTTAGGCCAAAAGCCTCTCTCCAAAGTTTGGATCTGTGAGATCCTAGCAGTATCCCATTCCCAGAGTTTGATCCATCTCAGTTCCACTCAGCTGTAGCCGCTGCAATCATGTTGGTAGCAAGACCCAATCAGACTGGCTTGGCAGTTCAATCAATTCGCTTGATTTTCAGAGCAAAGAATTCAATTCTGCAGAGGGTTGCAGAGGGTTTCTGGCAGCGGGGCTGGGCAGTTGCTTCTTCTTGAGCAACTCAGCACGGAAGACCCGCAGCTGCTTTGAGCAACCAAGCCTCAACTGGGTGAAGAATCTTGACTGCCTCTCGCATCTTGGAAGAGAATCTGTCAAATTATCCTGAATTGTTGATATCGCAGCGGTAAGTGTAGGAAGCAACAATCCATGGGTATCCGTAGATGCATTTGTGAAAAGTCTTCGCTGAGCTTGCACTGTTATGGAGGCAACATCATTCAACTCGGTTGATGATGCTTGAAACACTCGTTTACTGTGGGAAGTTCTTGAAGCACCTTGTCGTTTTTGCCGAGGCGGCAACAGCCTTCAGAGAGATGACCTCCCACATGAAGTTGCCATTGCCATCTCGCAACTTCCCCAGGCGCTTCACACTTCACACCTCGCTCCACGCTCATCCTCCAAACTGAGCCGTTTCGCATCTCCTTTTCCGTCGACGGCATTTGCTCAGTTTTCTCTATGGTTTACGTACTCTACGTTGTTACTAGTAGCAAACATTGTTTCTAATAGCGATGCACTTGTTACTACTAGTAAGGCACTTGTTTCTAATAGCTTCTTGTTACTACTAGGAAGGCACTTGTTACTACTAGCGTGGCACCTGTTTCTAATAGCTTCTTGTTACT